CCTGAAGTTAACAAACTGAGCAGTAGAGTCAATATGTTAAATAATGTCCAGGATGTGATTCCAAAAAACATCTCCTGTGGCGCTTCAAGTTTCATTCAGTAATGGGAATTGGGCTTTTGGAAAAAATGGTTCAACGTGGAGTTCCGTGGAGCACAAAACTGGGAAATGAATTGCAGGATTTGCACCCTCTCCTACTTACTCAGGAGGATCCATCTGTGCAAGTCGTAACTTGAATTTCTCAGGTCTAGAAGACTATCCTGAGGCTACTGGTATGCGACTTAAGAACCAGATCTGGAAGTGAAATGAAATCCCACGGTCATCCTGACTTAACCAACCCTCCCACACAACAAGCACCCCATTTAAATGTAGGTAAGGAGAGTTTATATGATCACACACCCGAAGCACGAAAGCACAGGAGCTCAAGAGCTGCCAAACATCTAAGACCAGCAAGAGGCATCTGCAACCACGAGAAATTTAAAAAAGAGGTTGCCCTGGGATCCAAAGCATCAGAGAAGAACAAACTTTTGGCCTAAGATTCAGATCTCCAGGTAAAACATTTCCATCTTTCAATCAACATTTCTGACAAACATTAGCAATGATGGATTGTTTAAAAAAGACAGTTGATCCAAAAACTGAGTCAAGCCTGCAAAGTAATTCAAGGACCAAAATGATAAAATCTAACTGTAAACATTGGCCCAAATAACAGACTCATTTTTACATAAATAACAATGAGAACAAGCATCTCTCTTCAGATTTAGTCTGTTTCTCCAACTGTATGTTTGGAGCAACTTCCACCACAGGTTGCCAGCAGGCTTGTATCTACAGCTTCAGCATCACATATTTCAGCTAAAGAAAGAAATTCCATAAACAAACAGCAAAGCCTGCTTCAGTCAGCTTCACTAGAAAAAAAAAAAATCGTAGCAGCCAACAAGGAAAAGGCAAACTTCCAGATGAGGGAGGCAAAGTAGATCTAGTCAGCATTCCTGCAGCTATCAGATGGTTAACAAATTGAGATGAGAGACTTCTGCGCCTTCTGAGCAACTTTCACTCTGGCAAACTTAAAGGATTCAGAAGCGCAGCTGGAATACATATGGGAGATGCAGGAGAAAGTGGATCATTAGAATTTGTAACTCCATTGTGCGCTGGAAGAACTTCCTGCAGATGAGCTACATCCCGCTAGTGACTCAGGGAGACCCTCCGTCTGCTAACAGTCATGAATTTATTCTCTGAACCACCTACCAAAAGCAGCACGGTTTATGTGAGTGATATGTATGTACCAGAAATCTTAAAATAAAGCCTGCGGGGACAATTTCTTTTTTGCTTCCAAATACCTCTATACTAGAGCATCCTCATTGCAGGAAAAAAAAAACAAACACCACAGAACATCACATTATATTGATGAAACAGATTTTATATTTTGATCAAAGTGCTTTATTCAACACAAATTTTTATGCACAAATGCTTTTAAAGCTGAAGTCAAATATATTTTTAGATGACGTTCAGCACTGAAAATAGACATCATAGTAATGGAACATTATCAAGCCAGATACACCCTGCCAGGCAGTCAGTTACTGGCTTGCCTGGTTGATCCTCAAATACAATACTTGAAAACTATGCTGCCTCAGTTAGTCAGGCATCCTCTCTGGATTACATTTTGCCTTATCAGCAAACACAAGGGCATGCTTCATTTACAAAATATCCTTATGGTCATTTGAAATTAGCACACTTAAGACACAAAAGCAGGGACAAAGGGAAAACACTACAGATAAGCATGAATGTCCCCTTCTTCAATTTTCCTCCGCAGCTGGCCTCACTACTGGAATTGAAAAGATTGCAGCCACCTGAGAACTGGATCTACTGAAGCCTGTTGGAGAGGTGCACTTGGAGCTGAGAAACAGAGTAGATGACAAAAAGGAGCCATAAAAATCACAGATGTAAATTAATAATCAAATATACACATTCAACAAGGAGACAGATGGCAAGCAATTTTCCCCAGTGTACTTACACTTGTTCTTCTAGTGCCTGTATTTGGGTCACTTGCTAGATTAATTCTCATGGGCAGACCCAACAGAGGTACTGTGCAACAGGCATGGCCTCAGACCATTTCCAAATTATGTAAAATTGACACTACAGCACAAAAGCATTCATTAGGATTTCTTCAGTGCAGCTTGTAATACTGTAGCTTTCAAACAAGGCTGTTTGATGTTGTTTCTCCCACCAGCAAGGCTGCCCCACTCAGGCCCATTAAACAAAACGCAGCACAAGCCATAGAGATCTGGCCAGCACTGCCACGTATCATGGAGGCATCCTTTGAGGAGCCATAAGTCTGGTAAAACTGGCGCTCCAGAAAATACACACAGTGGCCACAGAGAAGATGCACCACTCAGCGTTAAAGATCCCTCCTAGTGGCCCCCTCAAACCATGCCTTCCTTCCGCCATTTGGGAGGACAAAGGAACACTTCAATGGATGAGTAGCTTCTGACACGCACCGCAGCAGCGTATGACCCCAGGACACTCAGAGCACTAAATCTTCCACACCCCAGCGACAGGCTGACAGGGATCTGTCCTACTTAGCACAGGTCGCACGAGGGGCCCACAGCTCAGATTGCCTGCTTGGGGTGGGCTCAAGCAGCAAGGAAAAATAATGATGCCAGGCTGTTAGCCTCACTGCAGCCATAGGCTTCCCTCCTGTGATGCGGGTAGATATTAGCCTGAAACAAGGGTTGGATGTGCAGCGACCAGAGATTAGCCCCCCTTAATCTGCCAAGGAGCTGGATTTAACACAGTGCAATATGTTAGATCTTCAATACATTTGCAGGAATGAAAACTGCATTTCTTCCTACCTCTTCTTACTGCCTCCGAATTGATTTTGCTCAACGTTTATTAATATGCATTGTGAGCTCATCATGGCATTAGACATGCATTCACCCCTCTCCCTACATTTGTCTCTTCTTTCAGATTAGTGTATGTCATATCCATTTTAAAATTTAAAAAAAAGCAAAAAGAGAATGAGAAATATATTTATTTGTTCCAAAATGAACAGGGTTATTACTGATTTCCTCCCCAGTAATCTACACATTTTTCTAGAAAATATCACAGTTGCCTGTGAAAATTACAGCAGCAGGGAAGGGGGTGACAAAAGCTCGTTTCCAAGGTACACAGAGAAAACAACAGTGACTCCTCATTACACTGAGCTCTCAGGTTTAGAAGCTGTCACTTTCATTCACACTAATCAATAAGCCAATCGATCTAAGAGATCACATTTGCACTGATTATGCGCATGTCACGTTATCCAGCATGAAAGCAGCAGTGAGTTAGGCAGACTCAAGATGAAAAGTGAGAACGAATACTTTTTAAATTCATTCAATTTCAGTTTCATTGGGTGAAGGGTAGGAAATAAAATATTGAATTCTTTGATATAAAGCTATAAAGCTCAGAGTACAAGTAAACTTGTTATATCACTGCCCGTACAGGCTTTGGTTTGGTGCAGTGCAGCCGCTAAAATATTAAGTTTTACCATTGGGAAATTGATTTTGTTCTAAGAAGTTTTTACGATGCCACTTAATCTTAACCAACCTACATAAAAACATAGAGAAAGCAATTACAGACACCCTTTATAAAGTAAGCTTGATCACTATATTAAAAAAATAAAATAAAAAACAACAGTCTGATCTAATTTCAATACACTTGGCAAAGAAAGCAGAAAAAGGTAAAGCAATATGCTGCCCTCCTGAAACAGATTGCAGGTTCCTAGCGTAAAGGCACAATCTTGATTCACTTAAAGTTAGTCGTATGATCCATCTCCCACATGGGGGACCACGTCCTACAGCTCCAGCATCAACATCCTTTCCTCTGTTATGTTTCAAGTAGGCTCCTGCAGGGCAGCAAGATCTTGTGATTACCGTTAAGGGAATCCTTCAGGTCTGAGAGCCGGCTGTTGTCACCCCTAGTCCCACAGTTACCAGCAAGCAACAACCTTCCTGCCTTTCCCTTCCAGGGCTGCAGTTGAAAAGCACCCTAATTGGATGACCCTGCGTACGGGACTGCCATTAATTGGCTTCTAGAGCGCTCTAGCGAATACCTAAACCTTAGTTAAAATGATGAGAAGTGCTCTTTAGTTACAAGGTAAACATATCTGCAGAGCTTTGCTTCAGAACACCTTTTAAACAGTGTGGGACTAACATTATGAAGGCAGCGTGCAACTAGCTTTTCCACCCTTCCCAAGACGATACTCAATATCCCCATTTCCTAGCTGTGTTAAAGCACACCCGGGCAGGAGCAAGAGTAACCTTGACCTCCGCATCAACGCTATCAGGCAACGCTTCAAACTGCTTTCTACGCCAAGCCAAATTGCACTGGCCTGCAGGACAGGCTTACAGGCACGTCCTTAAACAACCCAGTTCTGCCCGAATACTGCAGCACACACTTCTTAGGGTTACGCAAATACTCAACTTCTGCAGCCCTCAGCTACAACAAGCGGGTTGAAAGTAGTGTCAGTGTGTCAGAATACTGCTTTCTATTGGTCCAACTCAGTCCCTGCCTAGAGGAATAACGGCTGATTTTTTTTTTCCTTCTTTTACTGCTCGTGCATTACGTTTTCAGATGTTAAAACAGGCTTAAAAAACAAACCCTTGTCCGTAACCGGAAAGCTCACACAAACACCAGAAACAAGTAATCGCTCCACAGGACTTCGTGTCAGTGACGCCAATGACCGAAGCCCGAGCCGCCCCGCTCCGAGGGGACGCGGCTCCACACCGCCGCAGTCCTGAGGACGTTGTGGGAACGGTGTTGTTGCTCCCGACGCAGCAGGTGCACCGCCGGCAGCAGCCCGAGGGAGGCGGCCCGGGCTCAGCGCACCGACCGGACGCTGCCCCGTCCCACCCCGCGGCACGGCTCGCACCGCCCGGCAGCACCGCACCGCCCGGCCGCCTCCCCCCGCAGGGCGCTGCGAGGCACCAACACCAACCCGCGCCGCGGGACCCCTCCGGGCGGAGGGAAGGAGAAGGGCGGCCGAGAAGCTGTCAAAGTAAATCCCGGCTCGCCTCTCGGATGGTTTAATTCCAACGGCGCATGAAACACCCCAGGACGGTTCATAAGTTTAGCCAGGCGTGCTGTTCTCCCTAATACATTTTAATTACGCATCCGTTCTAACTGCAATCAGATCAAGCCAGCGGAAAAGGCACCAATCGGAATGCCCGGCGGCCAGCCCCGCCCGGCGTTCGGAGGAGCGGCACCTCGTGCCCCGCCGGCACCCCGCTCCCTGTTCCCGGCACGGGACGCCCGAAGTCGCGGCAGCACCCGCCAGAAGGGCAGGCTGGCAGCGAGCTGTCAACGGCCCCGTCAACGTCCCCGCCGCCGGCACCGGCGATCCGGGCTCCCCGCTCCCCCGGCCCCCAACCGTCCGGCCCGGCCCGGCCCCGCCGCCGGCAGGTGTGCCCCCGCCCGCCGTACCTGTCATCGTAGCAGAAGTCGGCGCCCAGCGTGTTGAGGTAGAGGGCGAGCCCCAGGGCGCTGCTCACCAACTCCGCGCTCATCTCTCCGCCCGCCGCCGCGCTCGCACCGGGGCAGCTCCCCGCCCCGGCCTCCCGCGCCAGCCCCGAGGCGGCCGCCCCGCCGCCGCCGCCGCCGCCGCCGTCCGCCCCCTTGCTCCGCGGGCGCCGCTCCGCGCTCCGCCGGCGGCCGCAGCCTGACGGCGTCCCCCGCTCCTCCGCCGCCCCCTAACCCATGGCAGCGGGGCGAGCGGCGGCGAGAGCGCGGCTGAGCGGGGTGCAGCGGCGGCGGTGCCGGTGCCGCCCTCTTCCCACAGCTCCCGGACGCTCCTGCTACCGGTGCTACTGCCGCCACCACACCGCCCGGTCCCGGCCCGCGCCCCCCTCGCTGCCGAGCCGGGCGCCGCCGCCGAGGCTCTGGGAGCGCCCGCGTGGGGCGCCCCGGGCTCCCACCGCGCCTGCGTGCCGGACCGCCCCGCGCCCGCCCCTTCGTGCCGCCCGCCCCGCCTCGCGCCCCGCCCGCACCCCGGGCGGCTCCGCTCCGACACCGGCCCGAGATCCGGCTCCTGCGCAGGCAGGGTGAGGCTGCTCCCTGCCCTGCTGCGGCTCGCTTCGATGCTGCCGCCGATCTCGAAATCTTTTTCTCTCTCTGCTTTCCTGCTTTCTTTCTGTGTTCTTTTTGTCCTTTGTGTCTTTTTTTTTTCCTCTGATTTTTTTTCTTTTTTTTTTTTCTTTGCTCTCTGCTGCTTTTTCTTCCTTTTCTCATCTTTCTTTAACTTTTTTTCCTACTCCCACCTTTTCCTTCTTCTTACTCCCCCCTCACCCCATGTCGTCTGCAGACTTGGCAGGAAGGAGTCCTACCCATGGCACACCTGTGATGGAGGGTTCCCTGCTTCTCTCTCTGTTAGAGTGGGCATCTGCAGGGACTTCTGGGCTTCCAGTGTTGCAAAACCAAAGTAAACTACTGAAAAGTGGCAAGGAAACAAGCACACCCCAAGGCCAGCACTGTGAGTTGGGGCTCCTGGAGGGGCACAGCTGGAGATGGGCAGTATGAGTGTCTGCACTAAATGACCTGCTCAGGAAGCCCAGCTGTGGGAAATAATGTGCTTAAACCATCCTCAATAATTCATTGGACACGGACGCACAGAATTATGGCAAGGGCCTGGGTCCATTAAGCTGATTGTTTCCTTTTTTTTTTTTTTTTAGAGTTATTAACATCCTGCCTCCATTTTCTGCCAGCCACTCCTTTGCAACCATTCCTGGTGTTTTCTATCAAGTGGCCATCACATTGCCCCAGAAGAATGGGAGTCTGTACAGTAAGCTGCATCAAATAAAACGGAAGGCTTTTAACAACTTCTCTTACCCTGCTCTGTGATTATTTAACACTGTTCTTAGCAGCTTCACAATACAGTAAGTGCATTAAAACCTCTTTCAAGCAGTATTTAAAGTGCTCTTGAGAAGACTGGCCCAAGTGCCACAAACATCTCAGCTGCTTTTCCTCAGGCTCGGGTGTGTTCTCCCACCACCAGACTCAGTAATTGCAGACAGGGTGGGGAGGGCACCCCTAAGAGCTTTGAGGGGCCCTTAGCAGATCACACTGATTTGGGAGCTGTGCATGAAACTTTTCAGCCTGAAGCACAGCATGCAGTAACCCAGATTTTAGGAGCTGGTATGCTGTCAGAGCTGCAGTCCTTACGTTTGAACACCAGTTCTCGGAGTCTTCCAGGACCTACTGCCAAGAGCCTGATCGTCATGACTTAGTCCTTGCCACAGTGGGATTGCTGAGCTTCCACAAAAAGGAGTTGCACAACTCCATTTCTGGAACATCCTAATAAACTCTGCATAAAAATCAGCATAATTGCTGCTGAGTCACAGTGGCAGAAGTCTCTCCTTCTCCATCAAGAACATATGTTTTTCTTTCTTCAAGGGTCAGGGCTACTGGCTAGCATAGATGGTTAGAAACAGAATCACAGAAGATCACAAGCTGGAAGGGACCAACAAGGATCATCAAATCCAAAACCTGGCTCCACAAAGAACAACCCAAAATCAAACCCTGTATCTGAGAGCATTGTCTGAATGCTCCTTGAACAATTTGGGGGTGTGACCACTCTCCTGGGGAGCTTGCTCCAGGGTCTGACCACCCTTTGGTGACGTACCTTTTCTTAACACACAGCCTGACCCTTCCCTGATTCAGCTCATGCTGTTCCCTCAGGCCTTGTCACTGCCATCAGAGAGCAGAGCTCTGTGCCACCACGAGGCCTCTCCTCAGCTCTGGGCTGAACCAACCAAGGGACCTTGGCCACTCCTTACACCCTTTGTCCTCCAGACCCTCCCTTTGAGCCCTTCTTTGGATGTTCTCTAATAGTTTTATGTCCCTGTTTTGTGGCACCAAAGCTTTAGAAACAAAACAAATTCTCCGGGGATAAAGTTCAGCCAAGTCTGCTGCTGACTAATAAAGCCAAATGCACGCTGCCTATGGTGACCTCAAGCAGCAGCAGGCCTCTGACACCCTGAGCCACTGACAGAGCTGGCACAGCTTTCCTGGATGGAGAACACCTGTTCTGTGGAAAGAAATGGATGGCAACGTGTGTGTGTTGCTCCACCTGGCAGTACTAGGACCCCATGCATCAGGCCATGCTGAGGCAGCAGGTGCAGAGGTCTGGATGCAGGCTCAGCACAAAAGCAAACAACACAATGGAGAGCACAAGAGGGTAAAAATCCAAGTGTGCTAGGGAAATTCCATCTGTTCTTCGGTTAGTTAAAATAATAAATGCACTGGAGCTATGAACAATGTTATCTATTATGCTATCAGGAGATGTCAGATAACATTCTGACTCACGGATTTACTGTGTGATGCATGGTAATCACAAGGTATCAAAAGAGGTAATTTAGAAGTTCAGATATGTCACTTAGCAGCCATTTCCAAAATAACCTTCTCTTCCAGAAACTCATTGTCACAGATTCTGGTATCAGGGAAAAGGGAAGAGGTGGAGGGTTGTAACCACACATAATAATAACAGTAATTGTGGAGATAACTAGCGTGATGCAATCTAACGGCTGATCTATTGTGTATAGCTTAGTAGACAAATTCATATGCTTTATTATAGTTATGGCACTCAGAATGGATCTATTCTAACATCAAGCGGGAAATTTCTTCATCACATATATTATAGATTCTGATTCAGTGTGCTACAACATCCTTCACCTAAACTGTGCCTGAAAGATTAAGTTGTGGCACGGCATGTAGAAATACATGTCTGTCATAGTGACAGATTTGGTTAACCGGTCACTGACTATGAGACCTTAAATGTCAGGGTAATGTATGTGGTGCAGATCCCTCAACAGATTAGATTAGACACTTCAATTTCTATACAAGGGGTTCATTTGCTGGAGCTTGTAGAAAATGTTTGTGCCAGCCTCCTCTGAGCATCTGAGAAGAGAAAGGCTAGCTGGAAGTGGTTATTAGAATATTAAATGTTACTGTAGGAATAATCAAGCAATTTTTTTTTTGCCAGTTGTTATGCTCAGATACCAAGTAAAAGTCATAACATTGTGCATATTTTGAACAACCTAAATTACATCCAATGTTGTGACTTAATGAGCCCCAGAAATGTAAACTTTGGTGCATCTCAAAACACCCCCTCAGTTGCTGTTGTCAAGGAGAAGCTGGTATTATCTGAGGAAATAAATCAAATTAATTGAATACTTACATGAACAAGTGACCTTGTTTTATCAAAGAAGGAGAAAGTGGGGTAGAGAAGAATGTTTCAGCTAAGTGCTTTTTCCAGAATTGCTCACTCATTCACAGAGGCAAGATTGTTTTATTTCCTGGATCAGGATCTAAGCTGTTGTTTTCCTGTCATGCTAATATGATCACACTAATTCTCAACAGATCAGCTTTCTGCTTTCTGTGACACTGTACTTTTTTCTTCTGTTAATGCTATGATAGCAAGAACATCAGCAACGGCAACCAAAGTAAAAATATGTTGCAAATGCTAAACAGTGAAATCTCATGGAAATCTGCATGAAAGGGAAGAGTGAAAACTAAACACATGCAGAAAACAAACAAACAACAATAACAACAAAAAACACAAGTACACGCGGGACTTGCATCAGTATGAAGGAGAGAACTCAGCTGAACACATTTCCTAAGGAAGCGCATTTCCAAGAGGCACCAATTCCTGCTTTAGATCAGTCAGTGGAGCTAGAGTATTGCTGCAGAGCTGGAGGGAGAGAGAAAAAAAGAGAGAGAGAAGGGGGTTGGGGAAGGAGGAAAGCCAGTGCAGTGCTGGTTTGACCTAATGCAATTACACTTAGTGTCTAGGAAGAAAAAAGTTTTAAGTAAGTTTCTTGTATGCATCTCACATGCAAATGTGTTTGTGTAACTCACAGGTGAGCATATCTTGAAGGAGCTAATTACTCAAAATCACTGTGATTAAAAAGGATAACATATCTTACAGAAAACTTAGAATTAAAACCTAAATATATGAAGGAACCCGAATATCTCATTCTTCAGAGAATTCTTCGACTTAGGTGCCTGTGTGGCCTGTGTGACATGAGATGATGTAGAAACTTGACGTTTCTAAGTACCTAAGCTTATGTAGTTAAAGTCCCCTATGTTTCTAGATTTTTGTTATTTGATATTTTCAGAACCACTAAAAAAGACCCTGTATTACTTGAAGCTTTAGCATATTCTGAAGATACATAATGGTTATCAGAGTGAGCCTTTTCTTTCCTCCCAGCACTTGCAAATCTTGAGACAGTGTGTTAGGAGCATGCATAGCAGCATAGAGATGATTCAACCCGTGACATAGGATACAGGAGGTATCTGCCAAATCAGGTGATGAATTTGAACTGCCGTATTGTAATTCTGATGTTACTGTATCAACATCAAACAGTCCTTGCCAGAACACTTTCCCACCCAGTTTATTTTAGTACAGTACAATTTATTCAGGGGATAGAAGAGCCATAGTTTCTGCAATTGCAATCAGGGCAAATCAGCATACATGTAGTCCGGAATCAGATGTCTGCTCCAAATCAGGAAGAAAAGGGCAGATTGTGAACCCAGCTCCTTGACAGCTCTGCTGAAGAGCTTTAAATTGCAAAGCATTTGTAAGGAGGGCTAATGGAGCTCCCTCCTTACTGATAAGTTTTTAGGAAAACAAATAAATTGATGCAGGCTCCTACCTCCAAAATACATTTCCAGGTAACAAACATAAAGATAGGGGATAGTTCCGTACAGTCATTTTTTTTTTAATGAGATCTAACCTATACATTTCTGTTAGTTTTTGAAAATTTTTGGTTTAATGTTCTGTTACAGTCAAGAAGAAAATAGTCAGACTTGGTTTTGCTCCTCCGTGATTAAAAACCTCCCGATACTTGACAGATTTTCCATATGCAGTAATTTAGGTGAGTCCATATTAAGTTTGCTGTCCTCTTCCCAATTCTCCCTTCAGATGCCTGGATCTTTCCATTTTGGACAATCTCCTAAGCTGATCATTTGTGTTCTCTTTACCTGCGTGCAGTAGGACACAGTGCTGCATCTCAGTCTCTGAAGGATAGTCTGGTTTTCAACACTGCAGCAATTGACAGTTATTTTGCAGCAAGATACTGTTGACTTGTACTGATTTCTGATGGTATGCTCACTGCCGCTTGAAGTAAAAAAGTAATGAGCAAAGGCAGTTTTCCATCTCTTCAGAAATTTCAAACATAGTTTTCTTAAGGTTACTCCATTTTATACTAAACCTAATCTGCTTCACATATTTATCTCCCTTATCCTTTGTGATAGAAAGTAAGATCAAAAAGAGTTTTTAACCCTAGTTGTTAAGAGTAAGTTGACAGTGTAAACTTGCTAATTGCAGATACCTCAGCTTGTCACCTGCAGGAACACAAACCTCTTTACTGTTTGCTTATTCATACTTTACCAAAATAGCAACGTACCTGCTTTCTTTCCTTGTAGTTCCTCTCATCAAAACAGCTCAAAGAAATACGCATCCTTAAAAGAAGGCTCTGGAAATAAATTATCCTCATTTTATGCAAGTGGACGTGGAGGCAACTTTCATTTGTGTCAGTTTATCCAGATTACACAAAACTCTGTAGCAGAAGAGGAACTTGTCCTAGATCCCAGCCATAGTTCCCAGTCATTCATTTGCTGTCATCATGAGATCATCCTTCCGTTCACAGTAATTGATATTTTCTTAGACAAAACACAATGGAATTATCCAAGGGATTAATTTGGCCTAAAACTTTAATTCTGAGAAAAGCCTCACTTGACAGATGGATGCCTGCAACATAACCAAGAAGTCTATGGCTCACAGCCTCGATTTTGTGCAGGTGGAGGAAAGGGAGTATGAGTGGTATAT